CCAATGATCATGTAAATGATGGTGACTGTTGCTTCCTCTTCTGAGGAACAACTCGCAAATCTGACGAAATTGGTTGAAGGATTGATGAAGCATGTACAACACTAAGATTCTCAAATTGATAAGTTGATGGATATGATGGAAGGACTTTTAGATGGAGAAGCGAGCCATGCGCTTGGAAAGGATGTTGAAGTTCAAGAGATCGGAGATCCTACGAAAAAAGCACCGCTTGTTAAAGAGATGGCAGATTCTTCTGAAGGAATGATCCCACTCGATTGCTTGAAGGAGTTTATTGAAGGCACTATCAAAGATAAGTATAAAGTCTCCACCAATTCTTCTCATATGTATGCTAAGCCATACACTACTAGAATTGATAACTTCAAAATGCCTGCTGGTTATCAACCTCCCAAATTTCAACAATTTGAGGGTAAAGGAAATCCAAAACAACATGTTGCACACTTTGAAGAGACATTTAATAATGATGGAACCTATGGAGACCATTTTGTCAAATAGTTTGTCTGCTCTCTAAAAACAAATGCCTTTGATTGGTACACGGATCTCAAGCCTAATTCTATTAATAGTTGGGAGCAACTAGAGCACGAGTTTCTCAATCGCTTTTATAGCACAAGGCGTACGATGAGCATGGTAGAACTCACAAATACTCACCAAAGGAAGGATGAACCAGTTATAGATTTCATAAATCGATGGAGGAACGTGAGCCTAAATTGCAAGTTTAGGCTTAGTAAAACTTCTGCAATCGAAATGTGTATCCAAGGAATGCACTGGAGCTTCTTTATATCTTACAAGGAATAAAACCAAAATCCTTTGAAGATATATCTACTTGCGCTCATGATATGGAGTTGAGCATGTCCTCTGCTGGAAAGGATATGGCGTTTGTCCATGACCCTCGCAAAGGAAGAGACAAGAAGGAACCCAAGAGATAGAGCAAATTTTTGCCCAAGAATGACAACAAGGAGTCAATGAATGTTAATGTGTCACCGGTGAAGTTCACTACGAAGGAAGGTAAGAAGCAATGTGTGAGAACGAATTTCCAAGCGCGTTCAAACCAAAAGTCAATCCTAAGGGAAATGCAAGAAAAGGAATACCCCTTCTTGGATTTCGACGTTTCTGAGATTTTTGATGAATTGCTCGAGTTAAATTTCATTGAGTTGCCAGAGATGAAGCGACCTAATGAAGCTGAAAAAGCCGATGACCCGAATTATTGCAAGTATCATAGACTTGTGAGTCATCCTCTTGAAAAATATTTTGTCTTCAAAGATAGAGTGATGTGATTGGTTAGAGAAGAGAAGATTATCCTTGATGATGAGAAAGCTAGTTCTAACCAAATCTCCATCACATTTGACTCACTCGATCCGGTTCAAATATGTATCTCTGAAAAGCATTAAGAAGAGTCATTAGAGCTAGACAAATCTCAAGTTGCTATAGATAGTGATGAAGGCTGGATTCTGGTGACTAGGCGAAGACGCAACAAGTGAAGCTTACAAAAGCAATCATGTGAGCCACCGATTAGAAAGAAGACGGTGAAGAAACTGGTGAAGCAGAAATCAATCACCCAAAGAAGGCAAAGGTAGAAGTGCACTACTACCAAAAACCCTGACATCCTGTAACTCTAGAAGAATTCTTACCAAGTTGATTACACACAAAGTCTACTCAAGAAAATGTCGAGGCATCATGTTTTAATGTTGATAAAGAAGAAACAATGAAGGTGTCTCCAACTGACAAAGAAGGAACAACGAGAGAATCTTCACTAGAAGTGTCTCCTAGGGCCGAAGAAAAAGTAACAAGGGAAATCTCGTCAGTGATGTCTCATTCATCTTCTGAAAAGCCTATTGAACCTTCTTCCCAAGAAGCACATACATGTGATACAAAAATCACATTCACATATAATGATCTTCTATTTGGTGAAACACTACACAATCGTCCTTTGTATATAGTTGGTCACGTGCCAGAGAAGAAGATAAATATAATCTTGATAGATGAAGGATCTGGAGTCAACATTCTGCCTATCCATACATTGAAGGAACTCGGCATCATGATCGAAGAACTTAGTGAAAGTCATTTGTTGATACAATGATTCAATTAAGGGGGACAAAGGTCCATAAGCTCCATTAAATTAGACATCCACATTGAAGATTTGCGATCAAGCGCATGGATGCACGTGATCGATGCAAAGACTTCATACAATATATTACTTGGCAGGACCTGGGTACACAAGAATATAATTGTCTCATCTTGTTACTGTCAATGTTTGAATTATCTTGAAGACGGGATTGAAAGAAAGATAGTTGCATATGATAATCTATTCACCGAAATTGAGACGTACTTTATCGATGCAAAATTCTATTTGAAGAGTTATGTTGTTAAAGGGAAAAATCTAATGATGTCAAATCAACCAAGTCTGACAAGATCACAAGCAAAAAAATCGATACGGCTGTCGGGAAGGCAAAAGTTGACACTAAAGAACTTTGTCCCAATCTCAATGAAAGGAAGATCATGTCTTCAAAGAAGAATTTGACTTCTGTACTTTGCTATGTTCCAAAAGTAAAGAAAGAAGAAGTTAAATCGTCTAACCTTCAAGAAGATGCATTAAGAGGACTAACTCTTCCTATCAGACGGATTGATGCAATAAACTTGCCTCCAAAACTGCCAGGAAACACAATCGCTCAAAATCAAGTGCGAGATACGGGAGAAGGTTTTGATCCTAATGCTTACAAGTTATTTGTGAATGCTGGATACAACCTTATTGAGCCATCAATGTTAGGGAAACTCCCATCAGTTGATAAAACCAGGCAAGCACGTGAAGGCCTAGGCTACAACAAACCACTGCCTATTCGCATCTCCATAAGATGGGCGAGCAATAATTATATAACTTTTGAAGTTGATGTCAGTGCTCCCAATAGAAAGCCTTCCATCTTTGATCGACTCGGAGAATCAAATGCAAGAACTTCTGTGTTCGAGAGATTAGGTCCATTGAAGAAGAAACACAACAAGCATCGGAGAAGTTATCTAAAAGTGACAACGCCATCTTCATCTATGATCCAAAAGGATTTCAAAAGTTTGATTCTTTCTAGAATGAGGCGACGAGTGGAGCTTGTGGTTTCATGTAAAGAGGAACTCAAGGAAAAGGCTCACAATGTGGTTTACACCAACGAGCGCGAGGAAGATGAAGAAAGTGTAGGCTCCTCATATCATGTTACAATCTAGAATGAGCACGATTCTTTGCCTCAAATGAAGATTCAAGAAGAGTTAGAAGATATTGTCTGGTGTTGTCATATATCTGTCAATGACAATGACCCTCTAGAAGAGGAAGGTGCTGGAGATGCTCCACCAGAACTTGAAGAAGGAGTGAAGACCACAATAGATTCCTTAAAGGAAGTTGACCTTAGCACTGATGAAGACCCAAGACCTACTTACTTGAGTGTCTTTCTAGAAGTTGATGAAGAAATCACTTATATGAATATACTCAAAGAATAATAGGGATGTCTTCGCTTGGAGCTATAAAGAAATGCCTGGCTTGAATCCTAAAGTAGCAGTCTATCAGTTGGTAGTCAAAAATGGCGCTCGTCCTATTAAGCAAGCCCAAGGACGTTTTAGACCAGACTTGGTTCCATTGATAGAGAATGAAGTTAACAAACTCATTGAGGCAGGATTCATTCGTGAAGTTAAATATCCTATATGGATTTCAAGTATTGTTCCTGTAAGGAAGAAGAATAGCCAAATTCGAGTTTGTGTTGACTTCAGGGATCTCAATAATGCATGTCCTAAAGATGAGTTCCCTCTTCCCATTCCTAAGCTAATGATTGATTCCACCACTGGTTATGAGGCGATGTCATTCATGGATGGTTCTTCTGGCTATAATCAAATCCGCATGGCACCAAAGGATGAAGAACTCACCGCATTTCGCACGCCTAAGGGTATTTATTGCTACAAAGTGATGCCATTTGGTTTAAAGAATGCTGGTGCCACATATCAAAGGGCTATGCAAAATATATTTGATGGCTTGCTCCATAAAAATGTTGAATGCTATGTTGATGACTTGGTGGTAAAGTCAAAGAGTGATCATTTGAAAGATTTAAGAATGGTGTCTGAGCTGCTTCGAAGATATCAACTAAGGATGAATCCATTGAAGTGTGCCTTCGGAGTTACTTCTGGAAAGTTACTCGGCTTCATTGTGAGACATCGAGGAATTGAAATTGATCAAGCCAAAGTTGATGCAATATCGAAGATGTCCGAGACTCAAAATTTTCATGAATTAAAAAGCCTCCAAGGAAAGCTATCGCACTTGAGGAGGTTCATCTCAAATCTAGCAGGACGATGCCAACCTTTCGGTCATCTCATGAAGAAAGGTGCTCCTTTTAATTGGGACGAAACATGTAGCGATGCCTTTAAAAGTATCAAGTCGAAACTAGGGAAACCTCCAGTTTTGGCAGCCCCTATACCTAGAAAGCCATTGATACTCTACATTGCGGCACAAGAAAGGTCTGTAGGAGCCCTGTTAGCTCAAGAGCATAGTGAAGGCAAAGAAAACTCTCTTTACTACTTGAGTAGAACGATGACACCAAATGAGCTGAACTATTCGCCAATTGAAAATTTGTGCTTGGCGCTAGTCTTCTCAATTCAAAAGATGAAGCATTATTTTCAAGCCCATGTTGTTCGTCTTATTTCTAGAGCAAATCCATCAAGTTTGTTATGTCGAAACTTGTCCTTAGTGACCGACTAGCAAGATGGTACCTCCAATTCCAACAGTTTAAGACCGTGTACATCCCTCAAAAAGCTGTGAAAGGACAAACATTGACAGATTTCTTGGCAGACCATCCGATACCGGATGATTGGGAGTTAACTGATGAGCTTCCTGATGAAAGTGCGATGTTAATTGAAGTTCAACCTCCTTGGAAATTGTACTTTGATGGAGCTGCACATCGTGGCGGAGCTGGTGCTGGCGTATAGATGCAATGTTAATTGAAGTTTAACCTCCTTGGAAAATGTACTTTGATGGAGCTGCACATCGTGGTGGAGCTAGTGCTGGCGTAGTGTTCATCATTTCACAAGAAGAGATTCTACCATTCTCCTTTACTTTGAAGCAATGTTGCTCCAATAATGTCGCTGAATACCAAACGTTGATTATTGGACTTGAGATGGCCGTTGACATGAAGCAATTAAACTTACAAATCTTTGGTGACTCTCAGTTGGTGATCAACCAACTCTTGGGAAGTTATGAGGTGAAGAAGCCCGAATTGCGTCCTTATCATGATTATGCTCAAAAGTTGATAGGATGGATTGGAGATGTAACCCTTCAACATGTGCGTAGAATGGATAATAAGAAAGTTGATGCATTGGCTGCTCTAGCTTCAACGCTAACCCTTCCTGATCAGACGCAAGTGACTATTTGTCAAAAATGGATAGTACCACTACCAAATGAGGAAGAATGTATAGAAAATAAGCTTGATCATCTCGTCGCTGTTTATGAAGCCGCGAAGGAAGATTGGGGACAACCCATTATTGACTACATGTGTTATGGGATACTTCCAGAAGATTTAAGGAGAAGGACTGACATTCGTCGTCGTGCACCTCGCTTTCTTTACTACAAGGACACATTATATAGAAGATCATTTGAGGGTGTACTATTACGATGTTTGGGAGAGGAAGAAGCAATTCAAGCTTTGCAAGAAGCACACTCGGGAGTATGTGGATCACATCAATTTGGACCGAAACTCCACTTTCACATAAAGAGGATGGGGTATTATTGGCCAACCATGGTGAAAGATTTCTTAGATTATGCTCGGAGGTGCGATGCTTGTCAATTTCATGCGAATTTCACACATCAGCCGCCCGAAGTATTGTACCCAACTATTGCATCTTGTCCATTTGACGCTTGGGGATTGGATGTTGTGGGACCACTACCAAAATCTTCTGGTGGACACTTGTACATCTTGGCTGCAACAAATTACTTCTCAAAATGGGCTGAAGCTGTCGCTCTTAAAGAAGTGAAAAAAGAGAATGTTGCAAATTTTATCCGAGTGAATATCATCTATCACTTTGGCATCCTCGCTACATTATAACAGACAATGGCAAACCATTTGATAACAAGTTAATGAACAAGATTTGTGATCTTTTTGGCTTCAAGTAGCGTAAATCTTCTATGTATTATGCTGCCGCCAATGGTCTTGCTGAAGCATTCAATAAGACTCTATGCAACCTCATCAAGAAATTTGTCTCCAAGTCCAAACGGGATTGGCATGAAAGAATGGAGAAAGCTTTGTGGGCATATAGGACAACATACCGCACTCCAACTCAAGCAACACCATATTCACTTGCTGTTGGAGTTGAATCAGTCATGCCACTCGAGCGTCAAATACCTTCCATAAGACTTGATATTCAAGAAGGGCTCATTGAAGAAGAAAATGCTCGACTGCGTCTTGCTGAGTTAGAAGCACTTGATGAAAAGAGGCTAGAACCCAACAAAATCTTGAATGTTATCAAGCTCGTTTATCTCGTGCTTTCAATAAGAAGGTTTGCTTGAGGTGCTTCCAAGTTGGAGACCAAGTTCTCACGGTAAGAAGACCCATCATCACTTCGCACAAGTCTAGGGTTAAATTTACCTCAAAGTGGGATGGACCATATGTCGTACAAGAAGCATATTCACATGGTGCTTACAAGCTTGTTGATGCAGATGGCATAAGAATCGGTCCTATTAATGCAAAATTCCTAAAGAGGTACTACCCTTGAAGTAAGATGACGCTCCTTAAGGTACGAGCCTAAATTGCATGTCACTCCTGGCCCACAAGAGTATAAACTGTGTACGACACAATTAAAAAAAGCACTCACTCCCCCAAAACTACGTTATGACTTGATCCTCTTTATTGAGGTACGTAGGCGCTTAGAATATATCCTAAGTTCAGTTGCATGAGTGTCAAAAAATCACATGTCCCGCTTGATCTATCATAAAGTTACCTTTCTTAGGGCGGGGATGTGTATCTATCCGCTTTCGCCTTAAGAATACCATAAAGTTACCTTACTTAGGGCGGGGATATGTATCTATCCACTTTCGCCTTAAGAATACCATAAATTACCTTTCTTAGGGCGGGGATGTGTATCTATCCGCTTTCGCCTTAAGAATACCATAAATTACCGTTCTTAGGGCGGGAATGTGTATCTATCCACTTTCGCCTTAAGAATACCATAAATTACCTTTCTTAGGGCGGGAATGTTTATCTATCCTCTTTCGCCTTAAGAATACCATATATTACCTTTCTTAGGGCGGGAATGTGTATCTATCCGCTTTCGCCTTAAGAATACCATAAATTACCTTTCTTAAGGCGGGGATGTGTATCGATCCGCTTTCGCCTCAAGAATACCATAAATTACCTTTCTTGGGGCGGGGATGTTTATCTATCCGTTTTCGCCTTAAGAATACCATAAATTACCTTTCTTAGGGCGGGGATATGTATCTATCCTCTTTCGCCTTAAGAATATCAGTTGTATGACAGAATTTAAAGTTAACTTTGAAAAATCACCTAGAAAGATTCTGAAGGTATTAAATCTTGAATTTCTGATAAGTTGTAGAACTTTGTGTCTAGATTCTAAATAATCAAGCAGCTTATGATTTTGTCGTTCCTACATCAAGACACAAGAGTTTTAGTAAAGTCACACAAATCTGAAATTTTTAGCATGACAGAATTTAAAGTTAACTTCAAAAAATCATCAAGAAAGATTCTAATTAAATTTTGAATTTTGGATATATTGAAGACCTTTGTGTCTAGATTCGAAATAATCAAGCGGCTTGTGATTTCATCGTTCCTACATCAAGACACGAGAGTTTTAGCAAAGCCGCACAACTCTGAAATTTTCAGCATGACAGAATCTAGAGCTAACTTCAAAAAATCATCTAAAAAGATTTGGAATGTATTAAATTCTGAATTTTAGATATGTTAGAGACCGAGAAGTCTAGTTTCCGGAAAATCAAACCGTTTATGATTTCTATTTTTCTGCAATGAGATATGACTTTTCTACGACAGACGTGTCAAGCTATAAAAAATGACGAAAATCAGAAAAAGGGAGGAAAATTATCTTGAATTATGCCCCTTTCATCATAGGCTTGTAGTTCACAATCTGTAATTGAAGATAAAATTGTGGAGACAATGTGTCTATTTATAGATGTCATGTGATGGGAATAAAATTATTCTCCTAGTCCAAATACAATTCCTTTTTGGTTAGGACAATGGAAAAGATATATGAATTTGAAGTTGAGTAGGATTACAATTCCTAATTCTATTACAATTTTATTTTTTCTTTGTTGTTAGGGGTCTTCATTCTCCAAAATAGACCCAAATTAGGAGTCATTCTTCCGATGGAAAGTGGTAATTATCAAGCGGTGGTCTCAATTTGAACGAAACAAAGAAAGATTGAGGCAGTCGATTCTTGGGCAAATTATCTGTCAAGCCAAAAGGAGTGGGATTGTATCTCTTCCCACTTAATTATATCACTTTAATTATATATATTAAAGTGGTATATTAAATTATACACTTGTGTGTGCCCGGTAACTAATTATAATTTAATTAAAAATATTTCAAGTCTAGTTTTTAAAAGATAAAATATCTCGACAAGACTTGAAGCAGGGGCATTTGTAATCATTTAAAATTTATTTAAATATAAATTTATAAAATGATTCGAATTATATTAAATTCATTAATATATTAGTCTAAATAAATATTATGGATTAATATAATTGAATTAATTATTTAAATTCAATAAATATGAATTTAATTAAGGTCCGCTCCATAAAGCCCATATGCCATGTCACTTTAATCTAATTGGCCGAAGGGAATCCTGTTCCAATAGCAAATCCTCTATTTTAAAACTATAAATAGGGGTCTTCATAATTCAGAAAAGAAAATCAAGAATTCGAACAAAAAGCTAGAGAAAGCTCGTGGATCAAAAGCCGCAATTTCTCTACAAGTTCAAGAATTGAAGAATTCAAGTGTTCAAGTTCAAGATTTGAAGAAATCAAGATCATGTTCAAGATCAAGTTCAAGAATGATCAAGATCAAGTTCAAGAATGATCAAGATCAAGTTCAAGAATGATCAAGATCACTCAAGAATGATCAAGATCAAGCTCGAAGCCCTTGAATTCAACTAGAAAGTCAAGATCAAGATAAAGTTCAAGTCAAGATCAAGTTTAAGATCAAGATCAAGTCCAAGTTCAAGATCAAGATAAAGATCAAGATAAATCCCAAGTTCAAGATCAAGCTCAAGAGCCCTTGAATTATATTTGAAAAGGCGAATTCAGAGGAATCATAGAGATTGTCACACCCGCACTTTGAAATAATAAAACGATTGTTGCTATAATTTTCCGTTCTTGATTATTTTTTTCTTGACGCGAATTTTATTGTCTACAGTGTTCAACGATTTGTATTCACTTCTAAAACTTTATTAAGACTCATCTGTGCAGTTTATAATCAAAGATGAAAATGCCAAAAAATTTACGTCTGAGATAAGTTGTTGTACACAAGTAAATTCCATAACCATTCACATTGAAATTCAATCTGCTGAGCAACTATAATGATTATTTAGGACTAAGAATTTTCTTAGAATAGACCGAATTTAGAATGAAAAAAAAAGGTAAGATAATAAAGCTTGATGTTGTGTTCAACGGGTTGTTAACTCCATTTGATGGAGAAAATTCAATTTTTCTCTCTCAAAACTAGGTTTGATTTGGGAGGATGAATGATGGGTTAACAAGAATGGGTTAGTGGCAATCCTAGTTGGACGCTTAGGTGGAGGATTAGTCCCACATGGCTTGCCACGTCATTAAAAAAATTGGATTGTTAAGTTTTGGAGAGTATTTGTGGTCTCATGATATAACAATGGAGTTATTTTTTATCCCAAAATGTAACAGTGGGTATAAGTGATGTTAGGCACCATTTCCTAAGGGACAATGTGGAAAAGAAAAATGTTGTGATGAAATTCTGCAAGACTGAAGATCAGCTGGGTGACATCTTTACAAAGGCACTGAGTAAAGAATCCTTCATTAAGAACATGATGAGGCTGGGGATGCACAAGATTACCTGATTCCTCGACAAGTTTGCACAAAAATATTCTATTTTGATTATGTTAAGGAGGGCAGGTATCTATACTTGTTTAATGTTTGTCACTTAAGAATTCACTTCTGGTACCTTAATGCAGGTATACACTCATGGTGTGTTTAGCTAAAGGGAAGATCTAACCATACATGCAGGGTCACAAACTGAAAAGGGGACCTGGTCCTCATGAAGTTAGCATTACTTATGCTACACTGTCTATCTGTCAACATCACTGCCACACGTCTCTCGCCCATTCATCGCGTCAGTTTCAAGTGTCTTTTCACTTTAAAACCAAAGGTCGCTACTGTTGGGGACCCGATACCCTTTTAACTCTATCTAAAACTAAGTATTTAGAGAATCAAATTCTTCAAATCTCTTTAGTTATTTCCTTTTGATTCTCTAATTGTTTTTCAAGTATCTTCTTTTCTATCCCAAAATGTAACTCCGTCTGTTCTTCCCAGACTCTTATCTCCTAAGAAGTTGAAAACCCTAGTTCCTTCAACTTCTCCATACCCCCTCCAGATGAAACTCCTTCGACTCCAATTTGTGGAGTTAGTGAAATGAGTGCCATAGCAGCAAATCGAGTTCAAATAGAAAAAGGGCTAGGAAAAGGAGGAGGGAAGGTATTGAACCTAAAAAACCTACCTCTACACCTCTCCTTATCAGATCTAGTGATACTGAGTCAGAGGATGATGCTGCTTATGTGACTAAAAAAAGTGAGAAAGAAAGGGTTAAATCAAAAGGAAGTCAGAAGAGTACAAAGAAATCCCTAGTGAAAAGGGAGAAAGTTAGAAAATAGGTGGCTGAAAAATCAAAACCCGTAAAGGGACCAGGTCCCAGGGTGAAAAAATAAAGTGAAGAAAAGGAAATGACAAGGGAGGAGAGGATAACAGCGATGGAGAACCAAAAGGTTTTGAATGGCAAAGCCTTTAACCCTGACATTCTAACCAAATTTGGCATGGGAAATCTGCTTGATGCCATCTCTATTCAAGGATGGAACCACCTTTTTGAGCCCCATCATACTTGCACGAACCAGAAGTGCGTGAGTTCTTCTACAAAATGGAACTCCTGGAAGACGGTGGTATCACAATGACTGTGCGTAATGTTGAGATCTGTTTAGATGAAGAAATTTTGGAAATTATTTTGGGGGTACCTACGGAAGGGATAAGGACGATTAAGGGCTACAATCCATCCAGTGACTTCACTCACTTTGCCATAAAACGTGGAGATGTCAAGAATGCAGGGTTACCGAGAAAAAATAAATTCTCAAAAGGGAATATCAGTTGCTTTTTGAGTTCATCAACAAGGTGTTAGTGCCCAGAATTGAAAAGAGAACAGTGGTATCTGTTGCTGATCTTTTTCTCATGTAGAGGCTTGATGAACTTGAAGAGATCAACTTCCCTGCCATTATGCTGGAATGTGAGTGTGTTGAAGGAAGAAA